CATTTAACGAATTAAGAAATGTTAAGAGCTATTGGGATGATTGAAGCGAGTGCAACCCAACAAGCAGTTGCCGCTCAGCTATCGATAGCTAGAAACATCACAAAGCGTGATAAACAGTGTGAATGAAAGATATCCAGGACGAGGAAGGCTTACAACGGCAAATCAAGACCGCTTTATTGTTCTGCAGGCCAGAAGAATCCGATCTCAAACTGCATCTGAGTTGGTTGCTGAATTGCAATTGTCACATAATGTGACTGTGAGTGCTCAGACCATCAGAAGACGATTACATGAAATAAATCTTCATGCTAGACGCCCTCTCAGGGTTCCCCCTTTGTCCGCTGGAAATCGAGTAGCTAGACTTTTGTGGGCCCAGGAGCATTTAAATTGGTCTGATGAACAATGGTCCACAGTTTTGTTTAGTGATGAATCTCGGTTTGGCCTGCATCCACACTCAAGAAGAACGAGGGTATGGCGATTTCCCGGACCAGCAGCACGGATAGAAACTGCTCAAGAGGTCCATACTTACCGTGGTGGAACTGTTATGGTGTGGGGTGGCATCAGTGTTGGAGGTAGAAGTGATCTCATTTCACTTCAGGGATTTTTAAACTCAATTGCTTATCGAGATGTTATCCTTCAACCCCTCGTGATTCCCTATGCTGCAGCTGTTGGTCCAATATTCATTTTCATGCACGACAATGCCACCTCACACAGTGCACGAATAATAAGTGATTTCTTGGATGAAAAAAATATCGACGTTCTTCCATGGCCAGCACAATCCCCGGACTTAAATCCAATAGAGCATCTGTGGGACATGTTACAAAGGCGGGTTATGCGTAGAAATCTTTTTTTAAATAACCTTCAAGAGCTCATTTTAGGTTTACAAAAAGAATGGACCGCAATTGACCAGGAGGCAATTGATGCATTAATTTTGAGTATGAACAGACGGTGCAGAGCTGTGGTGAATTGTAGAGGAGGTCACACCACTTATTGACATTGTTTTCGACTTCATAATAAAGTTTGATTTTTTTGTTATATTCACTTCATTGTTTAATAAAGCTATTTTCATTTCATTGCATATTTTTATGACTTTTCGTTCAAAAATGGTAAAAATATATATGTGAGAATATCATATAAAAAAGTGAGAGTTTCTTTACAAAAATAATTGTTTTATTGCAAATTTTTACGATTATCCCTAGACTTTGTTGATGTGTGTACTTACCACAGTGTGGTAAGTATATGTCTATTCCGTCATCCGATTATAGAATATTTCATTCTGTAACACTTTACGAAAAATATGTCATTCCATATATAAAAGTGATATTAGAACGGTCATATTCCGTAATAGGAGTAGAAAAAATTGTTTAAAATCTAATTGTTCACTTTTTCCAGTATTTGTTCAGTTAAAATGAATTTCACGCTACAAGAAATGATTAATAATAATAAAAATTGAGGGATAGATTTGAATTTACGGGTTATATTTCTTACAAGAAACAAGAATTGATTGGACGGAGAATTGATGAAGACCATGAATTAAAAGTTCTTTTGACGATAAAGGAAAATCCTTTTTTGAGTACTCGGGAGAACGCAAGAAAAACTGGTCTATCGCAAAGCAGTGTGAATCGCATAATTTTAAACCATATGGAACTTCTTCAGAAACTTTATGATGACGATTAGATCGAGTAAATTTTTTAAAAAGAATGCTTGAAATTTTGCATGCTAATGGCAACTTCTTAAACGCCATTTTATTTTCAGATGAAGCTACATTCAAGAGTAATGCATCTATTAATAGACACAATTTTCCCCCATTGGCTGAGAACCATCGATATTTCATACATATTTGACCATTTATTATAATTATTGATAACTTACATTTTTGATTCTGATTTTTGTGTTTCTATTTTAATAATAAATAATAATACAATTCAACGAGATAAATCAATTGATTAATAATTATGAATAAGCATTAATTTCTCTCTGTATAACGTTAAATTGTATTATTTAGAATAACTTGGGAATTATGTGATGTGTACTTCTTTTCAGCTATAATATCCCTAGGACATTGATAATGCACGAGATAATTTTATGATAATCGAAAGCACGTTGATTAGTAAAAGCCCCACGCCGAAGGCGGAGGGGTGTTACCAACAAACGTGCTTTGACATAAAATTATGAGGCATTTGATAAAAAAAAATCAAATACCTAACTCGCAACACAATTATTATTTATTTATTAAAAGTACCTATTATTTGGTTCATTTCAGACAAACTTAATAAAACTGAACTGGTCTTACGTTTATATGAATATGCTTGCATGCAGTTTATTTCTGGTTGCATCGCGGGCATCTCGGGCAGGTTTATGTAAATACTATGCTGTTACACAGTTCAATCATTATCTTATATTCATTATAGTATTTCTGTTGCAAAAGTTTACACGTAACTTTCCACATGGTCTTAACAGTGGCTTCTTTAAATTCGGTCCCATCTTTCTTCCTCATATTGACCGCCCAATCTTTTAATATTAATGCCAGTTCTTCTTCGCTTTTATTCTATATATATCATATGACTATATGACATATATGACATATATGACACATTGAAATTTATTTTATAAAATTGACAGTCTTGGTGTCATATTGTCATGGTGATTGAAAACTTCCCTGAGTATTGTTATCAGTTAAATGTTGAAATGATTGGGTGATTTGGGTCACATGACGAAAAATAACATAATTTAAATGGCTGTTTGAACTGTCAAAAAATGTTCATCAAAATTATAATGTCACACTTGACACAATTAGATTTTAAACAATTTTTGTTATTGGTATCCATGGATACGACAAAATAGGTGTGTTGATACCTAAATTATTACAAAATTGTGAAATATCTTTGTTGTTATCAACTTTATATAGGTATAATTAAAAAGTAATTTAATAATAATAATAATAATAATAATAATAAAAACGTACACAGCGTTTCACAGCTTTCAAAGTTATTAACTTTTAAACTTTGCCAAATTCACCCTAATTTGTATCAAGTTATTGGTTGGAAGTTTGAAAAAATTTGATACAGGATATTTAAAACAATGTTTGAAGATTCCAAAAATCCAAACCGCATACCAATAGACAATATAACAATGAAGTTATAGGCTATTTTTGTTGAAGGCGCAACTGTCAAATTTATACGAACTCGAAAACTATTGAGTTTAGGTATAGGGAATGTTATAGAAATTTTATCAGGAATTACCTATGAAATTTAAAAATTAAAAAATATACATTGTGCTCTATTTGAAATAACAAAGTTGATGTCACTTCCGGTAAAACCGGAATTGAATTTTGTTCATAATAAATTTGGAAAATAGATTATAGATAGATAATAAAACATAATAAAACTACATTTTTGTAACAATTATTTTATTTGTCAAAGTTAATGACTAATAGATTTGGTTGGTCACTTGGATGAAGCAATCAAATTTGTTTAAAACTAATAGACTATTTATGAAGGATATACATAGATAATAAACTTGAAAATCTGACGTACGCTCTCAAGTCTTCTTGAAACGTACTGATTCATGATACAAAGAATGCATTATATTATGGTACTGATTAGACTGGGCCAAAAAAATTGACTATTTTTTTTTTGAAAAATATATCGAGAATGTCATTTAGAATGACAAAAAAAAAATTTCGTGAAAATTTGAGCCCTTAATATTAATTTTAAGAGGTCTATCATCGCTATTTTTGATTTTTAGTCATAATTTGATGTTTTACGCTAGAACTGTCAAAACATTAAAGTGAAAAAAATTCCTTTTCAGTTATTTTTATATAAAATTAAATTCTCTACAAAAAAGGTCTGATTGAAAATTTTCGTCAGACGAGCTGTTTCCGAGTAATTGAGCTCAATAAATCGATGTGTTTTTTCGATTTGCCCTTTTTACTTTGAAATTTTGTAACTATTGAATCAATGAATATTTAAAAAAGCTCACGTCGGATTCTTAAAAGAAATTTAATGGTCTACAAAAAAGGTCTCTTAACATTTTTGCCTAAATTTAATTCTTCAAAAGTTATTCACGATTAAAATTAAAGAAAAACTTAAAATTTCAATTTTTTTTTCGTGAATAACTTTTGAAGAATTAAATTTAGGCAAAAATGTTAAGAGACCTTTTTTGTAGACCATTAAATTTCTTTTAAGAATCCGACGTGAGCTTTTTTAAATATTCATTGATTCATTAGTTACAAAATTTCAAAGTAAAAAGGGCAAATCGAAAAAACATATCGATTTATTAAGCTCAATTACTCGGAAACGGCTCGTCTGACGAAAATTTTCAATCAGACCTTTTTTGTAGAGAATTTAATTTTATATAAAAACAAATGAAAAGGATTTTTTTCACTTTAATGTTATGACAGTTCTAACGTAAAACATCAAATTATGACTAAAAATCAAAAATAGCGATGATAGACCTCTTAAAATTAATATTAAGGGCTCAAATTTTCACAAAATTTTGTTTTTGTCATTCTGAATGACATTCTCGATATATTTTTCAAAAAAAAAAAATAGTAATTTTTTTTGGCCCAGTCTAGTACTGATTAATAGAAAACTAAATAAAAATACTCTTGATTAATATATAAATCAAAATATAATAATAATTATTGTGCAAAAAACTGAATTTTCCAGAATCAAATTGATGTTGACAGAATATTGCCGTGTATAGCATTTCTATTGGTTAATATTGACGTGTATTGCATTTCTATTGGTTCGTAATGAAAAATATGTATCATAATGGATCTCATCTAGACTGATCTAACCTCACTTTCTACTTTTAATGTATCGTTTAACATATACAATTGTGCTTTAAAGACAAAATGTTGTATGCAATTTGGACAAGAAGGTATTTTTGTGCTTCGCTTGTAGGCCTGTAGGCCACCACTAAGCACAAAAAGACTCACGTCTTGGCTTAATGACATAAATAAATATTTTAATAAATTTATACATTATTTATTTTTTTAGTTTATGGTATAAAATGCTACCAATGTTCAGCAGCAAAATCTTTAGACTGTTCAGATATGATGGTACACATGGATGGTATCCAACCTCATGAATGTGATAGCGTATTTGAAGCAGAGTATTGTGTAAAATCAACTAGTTTAGACGGTAATATTTTTACATACTTGTTACCTACTTGGTAGTGCCACCAATTTTTAAATATAAATACGGCTGAACCACGGCGTTCTCCATAGTAAACGATTCTATATACAAAAATAAATATTTTAATTATTTATGCAGAAAAGTTTTTAATTTTATCCAGTTTTATTTTATGTTTGAAAAATCAATAAATAATATAGATAATTTTTTATCTATCTGAACTTCGCCCAGATATGTAAATTTTGTAATTTCAGAAATTTAAAAAATAAATAAAACATTTATTATTATTATCATATATAAATATATATATTTTAATATAATAATATTAGACTAATAAAACTTGAAATAGCATGTAGGTACAGGATGGTCAGGAAAACGTTCAATTCAATTGCTGAGAATTAAAATATAGTAAATTATACGTATTAAGTCTTACTAAAGACAGTGAAAAAAATTTTAAACTAAAAACGCATTAAAAAATTAGCACTGTTTTTTCTTAATTTAAAATCATGGGTAATAAGTGTAACTTTTAAGTTAAAATAAAAAAAAATACAGTTTAAAAAATATATTAATTTATAAAAAAAGTATTGAATTTTTTCCACAAAACGGGCTTTATGGCCATCTAAAAATGCATTAAAAAATAAAAATCTGTTTTCAATTAAAATATAGTTAATTATACCTAATAAATCTTACTTAAAGGAGTAAAAAGAGAAAAAATAAATATTTAATTATAATAAAAAAGTTATTGAATTATTTGCGCAAAACAGTTATAAAACCCACAAAAAAATCTAAAACGTATTAAAAATATAGTAAATAATACGTATGTAAGTACTTCAATATCACAGTTAAAAAAATTAAAAACGCATCAAACGTACCTAAAAAGTTACCTATAAATAGAAAGAAAAACATTAATTCGGAATAAAAATGTGAAAAAAAATGGAATATTTTTTTAATTTGTATTATTTTAAATTAACGTTGTCCATAATCAGTTCAAAATCTGAGCAAGTTAATTAACCTATATTAAATATAGTATATTTCCTATATATACAACCAGTGGCGGCTGGTGGATTTTGGGTATACCGATATCTCAATTATTAGATATGGGACCCCACCAAATTTATATGAGTTTATAATGACATTAAATAAACAAGTTCTGCGAAAGCAGAATTTAAATTAAAGTTTGCGAAAAAAGATAACTTTTTGCTTTGCCGTACCGGCCCCATGGCGCCCCCAATAAATATAATATAAATTTAATTGGTGCAATTTATTTACCATATATGCATAGTTTATCGACTAATTTCAAATTTTATTAAAAAAATCCAAAATATACAGATTTTATACCATTTTAAATTTTTAATATTTGAATAATAAAAATTTAAAATGACATAAAATCTGTACGATTTTTTAAATAATATTTGAAATTTGTCGATAAACTATGGCAAATAATAAATTGTACCAATTAAATTTATATTATATTTATTGGGGGAGCCATGGGGCCGGTACGGCCGAGCAAAAAGTTATCTTTTTTTCGCAAACTTCAATCTAAATTCTGCTTGCGCAGAACTTGTTTATTTAATGTCATTATAAACTCATATAAATTTGGTGTGGGTCCCATATCTAATAAGTTATTAGTAATAACTGAGATATCGGTATACCCAAAATCCACCAGCCGCCACTGTATACAACGGCTTATTTCGATATTTTGTAAAAAAATGCAATGTGTTCTGGAAAAAAGTATGGAATATTTTATTCATATTTATCAAAAATTAACAAAAACTGAAATAATTAAATATTTTGTGGCGTAACCTTTTGCATCTATCACCGCTTCTCAAGCGGCGCTTGACATCTTCTAGGCATAGAAATTCTATGATAGAATCCACCAGTTTCTGCAATGTGTCCAGAGGAATTGGTTGCCACTCTTCCTTTATGGTTTGGAGGAGTTCGTTTTGGTTTGCGATGTTTTTTGTTAGAATTCGACTGTCTAATATTTCCCTAAAATGCTCAATGGGATTGAGATCGGAGGACAGAGAGGGCCATTTAAGCACAATTTACGTCTTGTTGAAATATCCAAGTGGCATCTCTTCCTCGGCAAATGGTACCATGGTATTCTTTATGATGTCCCTGTATTGGAAACGATCCATTAAACCCTCTACTTCAATTAATGGTCCAGCCATGGATTGAGAAAAGCATCCCCAAACCATAATGCTCCCTCCACCATGTTTTAATAGTGTGAATTTGGTATTTAAAATTGTATCTCTGTCCTACTGGCCGCCTCACAAACGTTCTACCATCAGAACAGAATAAATTAAATTTACTCTCATCGCTCCAAAGTTCAGAGTTCCATTTTGCCTGGGTCCAGGTCAAGTGGGATTTGGCAAATTCCAGACGGGCAGTTCTGGATTTTTTTTAAAGCAGTGTTTTAACGGCAACTTGACCATGTGATCCCGCATCAATTAGGCGATTTCTCACAGTTCTGCTCGTCACATCAAGATTAAATTGTGTGGATATTTCTTCAGTAATTTGTCTCGATGTCTACTGAGGATCTTTAAGAGACAGTCTTTTTATGGTTTGGTCTTTGGTAGTTTTTCTGGGACGTTCTGACTTGCGTCGATTCTCAACACCTCCTTGAGTATGAAATTTACTCACAATTTTACAAACCTCACTCTGAATAATATTAAATATTTTTGCCACATCAGATTGCGTTCGGCCACTTTGATAAAGTTCAACTATTTTTTGCCTAAATTAAACTAAAAAGTAAACGTGTTAGGCATAATTAGTAATTTTCGCACAATTCTACTACGTTTTAACGTAATCATTGATTACGTTAAAACGTAGTAGAATTGTGCGAAAATATTAAGAACTAAAGCAAAACTGGTCGCAAATGAAAGATTATTCAATACTTTTTTCCAAGCAAAAAACCCAAACAAAACAATGATATGAAGCAATAAAATAGTACGTTACACATTATACATAAACAAGATTTCTTGTAACCAAATAAGAAAAGTTGTAAAAATTTTTAGGGGCCTAAAATCCAAAGATTAAAAATATTCCATACTTTTTTTCACCACTGCAATTATTTTCGCAAAACGGTTAAAAAACCCACATAAAAAACTTATAAATCCCTTTATTTTTTTTTAAATATAGGTAATTATAATTATTTACCTTTATTGTTTTTGCCGTTTTACTAGACTTAGGGCCGTATGCAGAAACGTTAATTTATTTATATCAATTTTTATATAAGTTCAAACTAATTTGGCAACATAGCAAATTTTAAATGACAGTAAAGATTTGTAGGTTATCTTACATATACTTAAATATGTGTTTATTACATTATAAGAGTGATACATTCTTAAAATGTAAATGTAAATATACATTTATAACTGACTAAACCTATTATTGACAAAAACTTGGTTTTGAAGAGGATTGGGGTCCTATAAAACACACAATTGGGTTATGTTCGAAGTTTGCAATGTGTTTTGTTATAAGTGCCTAAATTTGCATTAGAAGGTATGAAAAACAAAAATTATGGCCTAAAGCCTCTGAAAAGAACAAATAAATTTTGTTGAAGTTGGTGGAAATTTTATTTAATTGTTTGTGCTTGTAAAAGATTAATTAAAATATGTTAGTTAATGCTTGATATACATAAATTATGGGTTCAGAATAAACTTTTTTAATAAAAAGGAATGAGCTATACTCAAAAATTGCATGTCCGGAAAAATTGTGCTAGAAAATGGGTGAGAGGTGGGGTCTCAAACTTTTTGTAGCGTGCATATAGTTTACCCTTGCCTGCCCCTCTGAACAAAATCCTGGCTACACCCTTGCTGGAAATGGGGCAAGAATCCCTGCTTTTCTAAAAGGTTAAATTAAACGCAATGAAAAAAATTCGGCAGGCCTTATACACTTTGTTTTTTTTTAATAATTTACACAAATTTTAAAAACTGTTACTTTAAATTTAAAGCAAATTTTAAAATTTAATTGTTGCAGTTCAAGCCCAGATTTTTTTACCCTGTGTATTTTATTTTAAACATAAAGTATTGTTTCAGAGCATATTTTTTATTATTTCTCAAATAAATATTACAAATGATACATACAATTTGAACAAAAAATATAAAAACATAGTTTCTAGCAAAAACAGTTGCACCCTACAGGGTGTATTTTTTATTTTTCTATAAAATGCCTTTTAAACTTGTAGGTATTATTGGCAAAAACTGTTAATAATATTATATATATATAATAATTTTTTAAACACAATTTTGGTTTTATTTTATAATCTTTATTATTTATTAAATAGTATTTTTTATACTATCCTATACTATACTTATCTATGTATTATATTAAAAAGTAAACATTTATGTTTTAATTTAAAAAAATAATTCAATAAATATTTTCACCCAAGTTTAATGTTAGGGGTAATTATTGTAAGCGTACAAACCCCCCCCCCCAGCAAAGAATCTTTAAAAGTTACACCCCAAGTGATAAAATGAAATATAGCACCACGGCAAATGTTATTTTAAATTACGACAAATAAATAAAATTAATACTTACGGTAATAAAGCTCATTAATTTAGTAACCCAAGGTACTTTTGATGTGTTGTATTCATGGGGAAAGTATTAAAAGGGAAATTATAAATACAGTAAATAAAAGACAATAAATGACGTTTGAACTCAGGTCAAACACCTGGAAGGCTCCCGTTTATTTTTATATAAATATCGCTCATAAAACCTTCCGATCTCTGCAAGAAAGGGACATCCTACAAACCCTTAAAACCATACAATATCTCCTTACTGCGACCACAACCCACATATAATATAAATAAATAAATATATAAATACCATTAGATAAATAATACATCATACTAGGCTCAAATGTCGTATGTGTTCCTCGTTTTCATTTTTAGTTTGTTTCTTTGTTTGTTTGCTTATTTGTTGGAAAAAAGTAGATTGAGTCTTAGTCTCTATTTTTGTATTTTAAATTTAACTTTATCCGTCAAGTATTCCATCTGCATTAAGCC